TCCCCCCCGCCCCCCGCATGCTGAGCCCCAGTCCTCCCCGATGGGCCTCCACACCCCACCCCCGCTGAGCCGCGGGGAGGGGCACTCACGGGTGCAGGAGGCCGAGGGTGGGTCGGTGGGCGAGCGTGCGTAGCTGTCCTGGCACACGCAGAACGTGGAGGCGTTTTCCAGGGCCCGGCTGTGCTCCGGGCAGGGCGAGCAGAGGGGTCGCCGCGGGGACACCTTGTAAAACCCTGGGGGACAGGCTGCGGGGAGCGGCCGGTGAGAGAAGGCTCCTCCACAGCTTGTCTCCCCTTTCCTGCCTGTGCCGATCAGGGTGAGAGCTTACTTCTGGGACTGTAACAGGGAAAGTGGGGGACTGAGCTCCTGCTGTGCGGCCCTTTGGTCCCCACAGTAATCATCCATTTTCGTATGCCTCCTCGCCAACCTGCGAGGCATGACTTCACCCTGTTTTTATTTGTTTGTTTGTTGAGACAAAGTCTTGCTATATAGTTCGGGCTGGCCTTGAACTCATGGCATCTTCCTGCCTCAGCCTCCTAAATTCTGGGATTGCAGTCGTTCACCAGCATGCCCGGCATACCCCTAACTTTTAAAATAAAGAGACTGATCACTTTAGCAGCATAAATACTAAAAATGAAGAGACTAATGCTCTTAAGTTGCCTAAAGCCCCCCAGCTACTGGGATCCCAACCTAGCCCACCCTTTCAGAGGCCACATCACACTGCTGTAAGACTCCTTGGAGGAGAATGAGCTGAACGGTGTGGTTGTAGGATGGAGAAAAGGATGGAAGACAGGAACCCCAAGGTTGGCTGGCACTTGCCCAGGGATAGACACACACCCACACTCCCACTCCCACACACACAACCATTGGTAAGCTCCCATCACCCGCCTTTGCTTAGTGCGTCATGAATCCCCAGCTCACACGCGGGCCTCTCATTTGGAAGCAGAGCCCGGCAGGTTGGAGGCGGGTGGAGAGAGAAGAGGGACTTGACAGTTTCCTGGACCATGAGTTCAACCCTAGTTTTGACACCTGCTCAGTTGCTTCTCTCCCTTCCCCACCTCACCCAGAGCACAGCTGCTAACAGCACAGGCTTTTTTATAGCTGAATGACCAGGGTTGCACCCTTCTTTTGCTGCGTGGCTTTGGGTATGTCAGTTGTCCTGTGTGAGCCTTGCCGGTTTGTGGGAGGGCACTGACACAGAATGGGACTGAGATAAAACATGAGCACTGTACAGGCTACTCTCACGCAATAATGGTGGTGATTACTGTTCTCTCACAGGCCTGACATGAGAATGAAGAAACACCCACTTTCAACAATTTCTCTCCAGCTGGGCCAGAGAGGGAAGAGGGATGCAGTGGCTCCTGGCCCCTCCGCTTCAAGCTTGGGTGGGCCTCACCTTGTACCCTGGGCCTCCCCTCTAGTTTAGCTGGTGATCAAAGGTTACTGCTGTCCAGCTCCAAGAAGACTTAGTACAGCAGCAGGGATGTACAGAGCCTCAGGGAGAACGGTCTGCGAGAGAGGGAGGGGATGAGGATGCCTGTTGTCTTCAGGGCTGACACTTGGAGGACCCAGCTTACCCAGAGTCCCAGGCAGCATGCTTGGGAGAGGGTCTCCGCAGCCCAGAGCCTTTGGAAATTACTGCCATGATGATGAATCATTGGCCCAGCTAGCGCTGAGGCTGGGACTCAGAAAGCCTGGGCTATACGGCATAAGCCAGGCCACTCCTGTGCCTCTCTGGACTTAGTTAGATGGGACACTAACAGCAGCCTGCCTGCTTGAGCTATGCGGAGGGCAAGAGCCAGGGCAGGCTTGGGGGAGGTGACCCTGTGTGCCAGGTCTTGGGGCCTTGTGGGAAGAGTGGAGGTGCTCAGCCCTGTGTGTACAAGAAAGGCTGCTGTCCTAGCTCCTCTCTGTGTGGTCCCATCAGGCGAACATGGTTATCTCTGCCCCAGAGGCTCTGTTTAGAAGAGTGATGTGTTGGAGTGCACACTCAGAAAGGGACTTCTGAAAGCCAGCACCTGCCTCTCCTCAAGGTCAGAGTAAGAATTTCAGAAGTCATCTAGTTCAGTGCCCACTCATCTGATCCTCTGGCAGTTGTCTGAGTAGCAGCCATGGTCTTTGTTCATATACTGCAGAATGGGGAGCTCACCCCCTTCAGAGGCTACTTTTGTAGATCATGGCAGTTAAAAAGTACTTCTTAGGAAAAGCACAAATTAGCCTCCTTGTCTGCACTTCCTCTCAGGCCGACCCATGGCAGGAGCTCAACTGCGCTGTGGAACCTCAGAGAATATACACTGCTTGAGGCCCTGACTCCTGGGCAGTACCACAGAGATCTAAGGATACAAGTCATATGCCTGGATTTTCCCCCAAAGAGGAACCCAGTTCTTGGCGAGGAAAAGGAGAACAAGAGTCAGGTTCAGTAAAGAGAGAAACAAAAAAGGGAAAAGAACATCTTAGCACTCTCTCCTCCACACCCACCTGCCTCTTGAGAGGAGGCTGTACTTAGCTGCAGAAGACACGCAGAAGGCCTTGGCTTGCTAAATACACATCTGACCACTTTGTGTCTCTTCCTAAAACTCCCCAGCAACTTTCACTGATGGTCGCCCTACCCGTGCCACAAAGAGCTCTCTTGTCACACTTCCGGGCAATGCCCCTTTTCTCCCTGTACTTCTCCAAACCCCAGTTTAAATAGCACCTTCCTCATGAACCTTTTCTCATCATTGTCCCTAGTTCCTCAGTCTCCAGGGCAGAGATGAGGCCATTACAAATGGCTTTTGTCTGGTCTCAGCCCAAGGGATGGGAGCTCAGCACAAACTAGAAGTGGACTTGGATTCAGGGTGTATGTGGGGGGGGGGTGTGGGTGTGTGTGTGCACGCTTGCTTCAAGCATGTGTTTTTCTAGAGTGTGGATCCAAACCTTCTCCAGCCCCTAACTCATAATTTTATTATCTACAATGAGCCAGGCACTGTTCTAGCTGTAAATACAGAAGTGAACAAAAGAGAGAAGAACCTGACTGTCCACTATGCAGATGTCCTCCTTTCCACCTCAAGAGAGAAGAGAATCCATCAGTTGGTAATTCCTTCAACATCTGGCCATTGACCCCACAGACACCATCCACACTCATCTCCCCTCTCCATTTTCAGTCCTAGAGGAGCGGATGAGCCACCTCCTGTTGAAGGCTAACCCCTCCCTCTCTACTATGGACCGATCTCTTCTACCTCCTGAACGTCTACAGTGCAATAGCCCCGGAGTCAATTCCCAGTACCACCAAAGAAAAAAGACTACATGCCATCAGTCATGTTTCCTGCTGACTTTCACATTGCTTCTCCCCTGTGGGCTCTTTCCAGTGGTCCATTTCTAATGTAGGCAATAAAGACAAGGACTTGAGAATATTTTTAAACAATCATAAATGTGACTAGCTGGGCATGGTGGCACACACCTGTAATCCCAGCACTGGGAGGCTGAGGCTGAAGGATTAAAAATTCAAGGCCAGTCTGGGCAATTTATTGACTTAGCAAGACTCTGTCTCAAAATAAAAATAATTTTAACAAGCACTGGGATGTAGCTCGGTGCAAAGGCCATGAGTTCAATCCCCAGTACTGTAATCAAGCAATTAATTAAGTAAATACTAAAAGTTGGCCTGCTTTTTTGTTAGTAGCATATATCAGTAATTCTAACCAACATGGGTCCATAATGGAAGACCCCTTCCCCCTGGAACTGACCACCCCCATCTCCCACACACTTGGGACCCCACAGGCTCTTTCCCTTCAGCATACAAACAAGTCCCTCCTTTCTACAGGAAAAGTCCTTTGTCTATATTCAAAAGACGGGTACACACACACATACTCTCTTCCGAATGACCTCCTGAAGATGCCACCTCTTGTACCCCTTCAAGTCCAAGCTTCTAGATTCCCTCCAGCTCATCAGTGTCCTTCACTCTCAGCCTGCTGTAAAGTGACCGCCCCACTCAGCTGAAATTGCTCTCACCAAGGCCACCAAATGGACACTGTCCAATCCCCAATTTAGCTGACTGTTCAGTCACATTGTAGGTTGCTCCCCTCTGATTGTTGCCATCCCCCCTGGGATTCCATATACCTACTCCTGGCTGTCCTCCAGCCTCTCCCTACTCCTCAGTCTTTTTAATGGGCTCTGGTTTTTGCCACTTCTCCTTAAGTATAGCTTCTCTGTGAGTCTGCATTGTTGACCCCCTTGCTTCTTACTCCATAACTCCCCTCGTTTGTCCTAGCCACACCCACAGCTTTAAGTAGTATCTGTGTCCTGAGCTCCAGCTCCACTTTCTAGCCACCTCCCCTCAATGCACCCACCAATCCATATCTTGTGTTCTGTGCCAGTGGATGGTCCCTCTGTCCCTTGTTCCCCAGCAGCATAGGAGTCAAAGCGGTGCCTGTCTCCTATGTCATGTGGTCACTAAGTGCTTTGGATACTATATCCTGATCATATCCATCCCCAGATCTCAAGGATCTCTGCTACTATCTTAGTCCAAGAGCCCATGTTTTTTCTCCTGGACTATTGCACTATCTCTCTTCCTCATCTTCTGGCCCCTAGTCCTTCCTCTCCAGTCCTTTCTTTGCTATTGCAGCTCAAGTGGTCTTTTGAAAATGTAAAACTGAACATGTTAGATTACTCACTGGTCTAAAGTATAAAGCTTAACTTCTTTTCCCCCAACATTCATGGTCCCTTTGTGATTTGCCCCAGCCTCTCTCCAGCTCAGCAGTCCTCACACCCCCACATGCCCTCTGTTCTGACTGCACTGGCTTACTTAGCACCAATCATGCTATCTTCCAGCTGCTGTGCTTTTTGCACACAATCCCTAAGCTCAGGATGCTCTCAGCTGCCTGGAATAAAAGCCTTCTCACTTTCTCTGGGAAGCCCTTCATCCTTAGAATTGAGTTCTCCTTCTGCATGCATCCATAGTTCTCTGTTGGCATGTATCACAAGCTATGCTAACCACTCATTCACTCAGTGCCTTCCCACTTAGCACCTACCCTATACCATACCCTGTGTCATATTCCTATATCATATTGTGCTATGGACGCTGGGGTTGCTGAAACTAATAACACCTAGGGCCTGGGCTCAATAAGTTTCTAGTCTAGTAATGGAAATTTACATAAGGAGATCACTGTATACCATAGGGGTAAATATAGAAATAGAGGTTGCAGTGAGAGCTGGAGAGCACAGGACAAGATCCTGGGGAGCTCTGGAAGGTTCTTGCCTCGGAGTTGATTACTAAAGCATAATTTCCCCCAGGGATAGATGGTGGCATTCATCTATATACACATAAGACCTGAATAAATGCATTCCTATTGAATGCATGATTGAACAAAGGAATAATAGCAAGTTTAGTCTCTTCCTCCTCTGCCTTCCCACCACTCTGCATCCCTGTTATATCATATGTCACCCCTGGGTGATTTTTTAATCCTTGCCTTTCTCCCTCTATATGTGAGTGTCTCAAGAGCTGGAACTACGTCTGATTCATTTCTGTTTTCTTGGCACATGAAAAAGGACCTGATTTAGAAAATGCATCCCTTGATCTTCCTACATTAAAGGCATGCATTCATAACCCCATCTTTACACCCTGCTTCCAAAGCTGCAGAGGGAAGGAGAGGTCTGTTCCTAATGTCCCCACCGACAAAAGGGCCCACCAGAAACCCACCATGGAGGCCCCCCAGAACACAATGATTCTAGCTCATACAGTTGAGTGAGATCTTAGAAGTCATCTGGTGCAACCTCCCACTTTCCCCTGAACTCAAGAATGCCCCCCAGCCAGCCTCTGACTTGTACCCTATATGGTGAGTGGCTGCATGTGATGGGGAGCTTACTCCCTATAATGTTAACCTAATGCTTGGGGTGCTATAGAGTTCTTTCCTGGAGTGTGTAGGAAAGGTGGTATGGTGTGGTAGAACCTGAGAACTGAGCAAACCTGCATTCAAATCCTGGCTCCCCATCTCCGAACTTCGCAAGTGAGGTGTTGGTCTCTTTGAGACTGTTTCCTGTCTGTGAAATGATGATGACTTGTTTGCCATGTGAGTAAATGAAAAGGCCTATGTGAGCTGCCTATTACAAAGCCTGAGATATGGGTCCCTTGAGCCTCCTCATATGGAGTCAGATTCATCTTTTAGTAACTTCACTAACTGGGCCCGCTAGAAGTTCCACAGAAGATCATGACCCCCAGCTCCAGAACGCACAGTTTCTTCATTACTATCTGTTTCGCATCCTCCAATTGCCACCTGCACTCTATGCTCCCACTCCACATCTCCCAGTCCACCGTATACCTTCGCAGATGTCACCACGCTCCTGGAATCCCGCACTGCAGCTGCAGCGGCCCACAGGCACCAGCCATTCGCCATCCGCACCACAGTGCATGCGCGGAGGGCTGCCAGGGTCTCCTTCTGAGTGTGCTACGCACGTCCCGGCCACTTCCACCAGCGTGGAGAAGGCACTCTCGGCCGCGGTGGCTGGGAACACCGCCAAGCCCCGCACCGTAGCGCGGCACTGCTTGTAATAGACACGCACAGAGACCAGCGCCACGCAGGCGCCCACGTCCTGGAAGGCCAGGTGGAAACCCCGCCGGCTAAGTGGGCCGATCTCACGCACCTCTGTGTTCAGCTTCATCTTGCGTTCACCCAGGTCGCCCTGCGTGAAGCTCTCATCCGCTGCGATTGTGTCAATTTTGCGGGGTCTGTTACCTCCCAGGCGGGGACGCCCATGGCCCAGGTCAGCCTCGGTTTCCAGGTAGTAGACGTTGAAGGTCTCCTTGCAAGTGCCTGCGGCGCCAGGGATACTGCTACAGTCGCGAAGTGTAAACTGCAACTCCACAAAGATGCGCTGCCCACGCCCGCGGCTGATCCAACCCGTCTGCAGCCAATTGTCCTGGTTGGGCTCCAGCACATTGCACACCTGGTATGTGCGGATGGGACGGTCGTGTTCATCCACGCCACTGATCTCCTCCCACTGGGACAAAGAATGAAGAGGGTAACAGCTCAGAGCTAAGGCGCTCCCTGGAGGTCAAGCACTGGCCCCTTCGTCTTTTTATTTTCCCCTGTCTCCGCTCTCACACTGCCCTAAACACTCAAAAGTAGACCTAGAAGAAACTTTGGAAATGAGCCAACATTTTTTCAATGTAGGATGATTCACGAATTTGCATGTCCTCCCTGACCAGGAACCATACTCATTCTCTGTATGATCCCAATTTTAGTATATGTGCTAGTGAAGCAAGCACTACCGTTATTTTTATGGATGGGAAACTGAGGTTGCAGAAGGAGAGTGAACTGATCAAGTATGCACACTCAGTCAGTGGCAGAGCTAGAAATGGTTCCTGGAGTCTCTTAACTCTCCACCCAGTGCCCTTTGCAGCACACCAAGCTGCTGTTATAACCCACACCACTATAGCCCGACCCTGCCTCCAAGACTCCTTCAGGACTCCGATGCCTTGCTTGCTCTGTCAACCACTAGACAACACTGCTTGGAGGATCTACTGTGTGCAAGGCACTGTCCAGCAGTAGTGCCATCTAGATGTCACATATCTGTTCCTGGACACAGTCAGTTCTCTCTCTCTCTCTCTCTCTCTCTCTCTCTCTCTCTCTCTCTGCAACTACTCAAAATTTTCTAATAGGCCACTTTGGCTTGACACCAGGGCTCCTGCACACCTCTTGAGATGCGTTGTGATCTGATGTGACTGTAGGGAGCTAGAGGAGCTGAGTCTTAGACTATCCCCAGGGCAGGGAGAGACAATGTTGCACCTACCCCATTGCTTGGCAGTGCAATCCAGCCCAGCTCAGCCTGGGAGGCTTTGGAATCCAGGAGAATGACTAAGGAGAGGGGAGAACAGAGATGTCAGAAAGTGAAAAGGTCAGTTTAGGAGGGTAGGATCTTTTGCTGAATTCTCTGTAAATTTGCTAACCAAGGGGGTAGAGAATGTGGCAAAGTGCTTCCCATTGCATAAATCCCTGTAAAGAGGGTGTGAATAGCTCAAGTCCAGAGAGACAAAGCCACAATGATTAGGGAAAGAGCCTATACAATTTCCTGAGGCTGCTGTAACAAATTACCACAAAGCTAGTATCTTAAAACAACATGATTTTTTCTTTTACAGTTCTGGAGGTCAGATGCCTGATATCAGTTTCATTGAAGCCTCAGGGTCAGCTCCCTTCGTTGGGAGGCAATGAGGAGAGAATCCATTTTCTTGTTTTTTTCATCTTCTAATGGCCACCTATATTCCTTGGGTTTTGGCCCCTCCTCCACTTTCAAAGTGCATCACTTCAATCAACACTTCTGCCATCACACCCCTTCCCCTCAAACTGACTCCTCCTGCAGCCCTCATATAAGGGCTATTGCACTGTGATGATGTTGGCCCCATCCAAAATGATACAGGATAATATCACCATCTCAGAATCCTTCATCACATCTTCAAAGTCCCCCTTTTGCCACTTACAGTAGCACTCACAGGTTTTGGGGATTAGGACATGGACATTTTGGGGGGAGGGGTATCATTATTCAGCCTTCCAGAGAATCCATGCGAAATGCTCTAAGGGCAGCTCTCAAATTGCAAGTAGGGAGACAGTGACCCTTCTCATCCTTCCCAGGTTCCCTAAACTATACCTAAATGTCCATTAGAGAGAGAAAATGAGTGTATCAGGGGATTCCTGAGTATACCCCCAAATCCACTCAGATTTGGGGGCTTTTCTGAAGGCTAGTCATGAGGTATGGGGGATATTTAAACCTTCCTGTTTGACTCCCAGGGCCTCTGGGGAAAACCAACTGGTGACATCCTACCAGCAACAGGGGAAATAAAAATCTCTCATCTACTCAACCAGCCCCTTTCCCAGAGATTGTCATCTCTACTGCCTTTGAAAGAATATCGGGGGTCCTTTTATGTATAATCCATGACCCCTCCCACACCAGAGAAGCTTGGAATCACTATATTCCCTAGGGAGGTGTCAGATCAGCAGTCTGCATTTTCTCAGCATTGATAACAGAGAAGAACGGGTTTAGACAGCAGAGCCAGCAGCCTGGAGACAGGAAGCCAGGCTATCCCAAAATCTTGGAAGATTACCCATCTGGAGCTGAAAGAAGAGGGTGGGCCGCCAAGGTAAGGGCCTCTAAGAGGGGCTGGCTCCACAGGCATCCGCGATGGTGGGCAGGACCGCTGACAGCGCACTGATTTAACACAAGTGACAGCACATGGGAATTACGTATTGGAAGGCATCTGCGATCCAGCACTGGGACCAATCTTGTGGTCAATGCCCAATTCCAGCTCCTTGGGATTCTGCACCTGGCTGTGACGCCTCTGGATTCAGTTGAGCCTACAGCTCCCCCAAACGCAGAATCAGAGGCAAGACGCGGGCTCTGATACCGCTGACAACCCCCAGCCCAGCAACGCCGTCCGCGCCAGGCAGACCACGCTCCGAATTCAGCACTGCGGACAGCTCCTCGCCCAGGCTTTGCGGCTGCCCGCGACCCAGTCCAGCATTCCACCTCCTGACGGCCGTACAGTGGTCCCCGAACCCGCTGCTCGGGCTCCATCCTGTCTTCTCACGCTCCGACCTCACCTCCGCATCTTGTCTTCCCTGCTCTCAGCCTCTCCCCCCGCCGCCCCAGGTCCCACCTGCCATTACTCAGCCTATCCGTCTCACTGGCCCCTGACTCCGGGGGTTCCTTGATCTCTTGCTTCCCGACCCTCATAGGTCTGCAGCCCCGAGATCATCAACACCCCTCTGCTCCCATTGCTTAGCCACCTTTCGCGCTCTCTCTAGTTCTTCACCGCCCGCTCCCCGCTTGCTTCACACCCCAAACAGACTCTAGTCTCCCCAAAGACTCCCACCGGTGCCCCCGTCACTAGCCCCGAATATGTTAACAACGCCGGCTCCAGCACAGCCACCAGTCTCCTTACCTTCCTCGGCGGTCCCGGGCCGCCCGCGTCCCAAAAGCAGCGCGAGACACAGCGGCATCAGGCAGACGAGCAGGCGCAGCGGGTGCGGGCCGGCGCCAGTCTCCATGGTCCGCAGACGGCGCTGTCAGTGCGGCGGCGGCTCAAGCCGCGCCAGCCCAGCACAGCTGAGCAGCGCCCCCAGACCCCAGCGCGGGCTGGGGCGGGGCCTCACTGGTCACCATCATCCATGGGGACCAATCACTAGGCATCGTCGCGGGAGGTCCACCAATCCGGGCCAGCAGTGGGTGGGGAGGTGGAGTTTCATAGGCCAGGGGCTGAACACCCAGCTGGAGGGGAAAAGAAGGGGTCCCGAAGATCTCCAAGCCATGGGGGTGGGGCAGCCGTGAGCAGGAGTGGGGCTGCTGGGGAGCGCGATGAGCTGGCGTCGGTGGTACAGAGCGCTAAACCTTAGCCCCTCGTTCCTCAAAAGTAGGCAATGTGGGCGTGGCTTAAGGGCTGGCCCCCTGGGAAGCAGCGACACTTGCAGCCTCTCAGCCAGCATGGGAGCCCTCTTGTTCCCAGGACTTGCAGGGATTTCCAAGTCTGATGCCCTGACCCTAAGCTTTGGGATCGCTTCACCTCCTAGCTCGGCCTCTTGCTGTGTGGTGTCTCATGTCTTGATCTTTCTCCCTTTTACCCCAGCCCCAATCTCTCTCTCTCTCTCTCTCTCTCTCTCTCTTTCTCTCTCTGGAGGGGCTAAGCCCCTTCACAGGAACTGCTCAAAAAAAGAGAGCCAAGTGGGAGACAGGATCCCACCCTATCAGCAGTGCTTTGGAGGCTGGGAAAACGTGGACGGTGTTGGAGATTTGCAAAACCATCGGTTCTTTGGGTTCTTGCTGCTACTGTCAAGACACCTCAGCACACCCCATAACCACCTCTGTCCTCAGTCTGTTCAGGCTGCAGTCCCCTCTGCGTATCCAACTCTGCCCACCGGGAGACCAGCAAGGAAAGCAGCGGCCGGGAATCCGAGGCATCTGCAAGAGAGGCGGAGCCGTCCTCCCAGACAGAGTTCAGCCAGCGCCGGAGAAGCCGCAAGAAAACGTGCAACACGACCTCTATTTACTGAAGGTCATTTATGTGCAAGCCAAGGGTTTAACCGCTTGGTGGTAGGAAGGGCCGGGACTCCAGGATGAAGGAGGTGGCAGCTATTGAGCTTCACCATCTGGGCTGAACTTGAGAGGAGAAAGCTCCACCCACTTCGTGGCTTTTCAGAGCTCTCGTCTTGGGGACCCATCCTCTCTCCCTTTGGACGCTACAATAGCTGGAAAGGCTTCGAGATGACTGGGAGACCCGTATCCACTTGGCCTGTAAGGTTCGAGTGTCTGTGTCAATTTGCATATATGTGCTCCTCGCCCCTCCAAACACTTCCTGGGGGCCATGCTTTGTGACGAGGATACCTGGGGTGGGGGAGTGGAGCTCCCTATCTTTGCCACATTCCGTACTTCTCTGAGAAGAGAATTCCTGCTTCCCAGATCATTGGCCAAGCTGTTTTCATGTGCCGTTTCTGTGTGCATGTGCGCACGTGTGTGTATGTAGAATGCACAGACACACACGCTCTCATACTTATCAGACAGTATGTAGCAATAAGAGGAATAGGTGGGAGGAACTGGTCTCTTTCGCTCCTAGAAAGGAAGGTCATATGGAGGCGGGGCTCGCTCACCACGGGAGGCAGAAGCCCGCGGAGGCAGCAGAAGGGGGTGTGGCACCTGCTCGATTCTTGGGTGCAGGCGGGGCTTCTGAAATAAGATCTACCTGAAGAAGGGCTCCTGCATCCCCACCTCCTTCCCATCTCCATTCTTCTCACGCTCGATTTCCCCTCCCCCTGCCCCCAGCGCTGGGAGATGGTATTTTTAGAAGCTGCTTAGAGACCCAGGACTCCTTTCATTTCAGAATGAGTTCTCACTGCACCATCCCTCTCTCTTCAAAACCGGGTCCCATCTCCTTAGCAGTCTCCAAGGCACTAGTCGTGGGAGCTCCAGGGACTCTTGCCCAAAGGTTCTGACCCTACGTGCAAAAACAAAACGCAGACTCCTCTGAGCCTTTCAAGGATCTTTCAGAAGACAAACAGATGGGGGAAATTAACTGGAGAGAGCTATATAGAATGCTCCCAACAAACCCCTGGCTGTGGGGAGTCTGGCTGCAGCCATGTAGAGAAAATGCCAGACTGAAACCCTAGGAATAGGGAAAAGCAAGAGGAATAAAAGGAGCAAAATAATCCTTCTGTTTCCTTTGAATAATTCATTTATATTAAAACTAGAACGGAGAAACCCTAGTGTATGCAGACATATGCAAATTAGACACATCTTAATAAGAGCTGCTCCAACGTGGACCTTACTCTGCTAGAAGGCTGCAGAATAGACAACCCAGTGGAGAAATTCTGCTGGAGGCCCTTAGAAGGAAATGAAGTCATCATTTATCATGACCTTTAAGTGCTAGAGGCCAGTCAACCAATAATAGCTAGGCTTAGGTCCCTTCCTGGAATAGTTATGGACGGGACTGGGGTTGGGGTGAGAGCAGGAAAGGAACTACTGACCCATTTTGTTTGATTTCTGTCCGTAGTGCTGAACCATCAGGGTCTGGACCTGGAACTTCTCTGCTGTTGCACTCTGATCCTCAGCCCAGGCTTCCCTGTCTACTCCTCCAGCCTAGAACCAAGATCCTGGGACTGGCATCTCCAAGAGCCAAGCACCCTTCATACCCTGAAGTAAGTGTGAAGGGGACCCAAACACACCCAGATACAGCCTGTTTTTTTCTTCTGCTCCTCCCAGACCTGCACTGGAGCAATATGGAAGTTCTTCTTTCTACTTCTGCCCCACCATTTTCTTGGATCATAGAAGAATAGCTGTTGGGGATGAGTAGCCTAATTCAACACCAAAAACGATCAAAAATGGACTTTCTGGGGAAATACCCAACATCACCACAACCTCCATCTCAATCTCAATTACTGAAAGTTTACAAATATAGATGCTCAACAATTGTTTTCTTTATTTTCATAAGTGTAGAAATTACCTTCAGCCTGTGAGGCAGAGGTCATGTCCTCCATGGGAAAGTCTGAGACTGCACCAGAGAAATCAGGGTGAAGTCCTGCTCTCAGCAAAGAGGACAGGGCAGGACAAGAGCAGAAGGAGCTATAGTATTCAAAGATACATCTTCAGACTGTCTCTTTCCAGCCATCATGGTGGCTTACACTTGCATTCTCAGCACTCAGGAGACTGATGAAAGAGGACAGAGTTTGAGGTCAGCCCACGCTACACAGGGAGTATCAGACCATTGTACATACAGAACAAGACCTTGCTCCCCCATAAAAAAAAAGAGGTGGGTATGGTAGTGCTCACCTGAAATCCCAGCATTTTGAGAGGCAGAGGCAGGAGAATCACAAATTCAATTGCCTAGCTTGGGCAACTTAGTTAACTAGACATGGTCTCACTATGTAGTTGGGGCTGACCTTGAATTCACTGTGTAGCCCAGGCTGGCCTCAAACCCTTGATGGCTCCTGCCTTAATCTCCTGAGGACTGAGATTACAGTCCTCAGCGGCGTATGGTATTCCATATTTAGCTCTATTTAGCTCTAAAAGAAAATTTTGAAACGGCTGGGGATGTACCCGAGTGCAAAGGCTGTAGGTTCAACTCCCAGTACCACAAAAATATATTTTACCTCGTCCATTTCATGTCTCCTTCTCCAGCCTAAGGAAAGAAGAAACATACTCAAGGTGGATTTTTTTTCTGGCACAGGTGCATCACAACCAAAGATAAGATGGTGGTTGTAAACGTATTTTCAAATTGAATTTTCTATGGAAAAGGAAAATAAGGCATTTAATTTACTAATTGAAAATTAAGCAAAGAAAACCTTTAAAATTTAATTCATAACTACCTACACTTCACAAGCCTCCATTTCTCCTCAGTAAAATAAAATAAAAACTTTTAGAGCTATTGTGAAGTCAAAAGACAAATTTTTGTGTGGTACTGGAGTGACTGCAGGGCCTTCACACTGAGATCCAGCCTTTTTAGTTGTTGTTGTTGTTGTTGTTTTGAGACAGGCTCTCCCTAAGTCAGGAAATTGCCTAGATTGGGCTTGAATTTGTGATCCTCCTATCTCAACCTCCCAGAGTGCTGGAATTACAGACATGTGCTACCATGCTGACTGAAAAAATAATTTTAGTTTATAACCCAACATAATACTCAGCATAGAGCTCTGGTATATACTGTTATTCAGCTCCATATTTAGTTAAAGTGAGAAATGAAAGAAAGAAAAGGGAAAGGTAGAATAAAGAAAGGTTAAGGAGTGTGGGAGGAAAGGAGAGAGATAGAGGTAGAGAGTCACAGAGGGAAAGACAGTGAGGGGTAAAGAGGAAGACAGCTGGTGAGATGAATGTGTCCAGGAAGCACAGGATTGGGAAGAAATGTGCTTCAAGAGACAGAGGTGTCATCAGGGCAGGCTGGCTGGCCAGCTTCCAAGTGGTATCAGGGATGACATTTACCTTGGTAAATTCATCATAGTCCAGACTTATAAGTTTTATGTTCACAGCATTAAGGGAGAAGCAATATATTGGGTGTTAGGAAGCACATCATACCAACTCAGCCCCTATCCTGTTATCTGAGCTAAAGAACCAACATATTAACTTCTGGTGAGAAATGGAACTGCCAAGAGGGCCAGCATGCTCACACTGCCTTGTCCATCACATTCTTCCCTTATAGGAAAATGTGCACAGGGGGCCAATTTATGATATGAAGGCAGCTTTGCGAGTGTGAGAGAAGGGGTTGGATGGTGTAAATATTTTATGACATCAGGCTCTGATAGCCTTGTGCCTCCAAATCTCCAGTAGAGACAAAGCTGCCACTGGTACCTGAGTGTATTTGCAAGAGATCAGATCTGGCACTACTTTATACCAACATATGCTTCTCTGGCTCTATTTTTTAAAATCATAACTCTATTTCTGAGCATACCATTTTAAGATTGAAGCAGTCTCTTTAAAGCTAAATTACCACAGTAATATAAATTAATAAAAATTTTATAAGTGAAAACATCCATTCATCACACCATCCCCAAATTTAAATCATGTTAACAGATTGATATGTTCCATTCCTCCTCCTCCTCCTACACACACACACACACACACACACACACACACAC